AGAACTGCCCTCACAGAGTCGCCCTCACAGAGTTGCCCTCACAGAACTGCCCTCACAAAACTGCCCTCAGAGAGTCGCCCTCACAGAACCACCCTCATAGAATCGCCCTCATAAAATCGCCCTCACAGAGTTGTCCTCATCAAATTGCCCTCACAGAGTTGCTCTCACAGAACCACCTTCACAGAATTGCCCTCACAGAACTGCCCTCAAAGAACTGCCCTCACAGAGTCGCCCTCACAGAGTCGCCCTCACAAAATCACTCTCAAGAAACCACCCTCACAGAATCACCAGTTCCCCCCGTCTGTGACACCGATTGAGGGCTAAATGGCTCTTTGACCCGTCACTCTTGGCTCCCGTGGGGTGGGTTTAGAGCGAAGACACCGAAGGGACGGGTGTTGGAATGTGTGTGTTTATTTTAGGACAGTTTGGTTGCAAAGGAAGGCAGGGATGGAGCCGCTTGGCTTATTGTTATCTATGGTAATGGAAAAGCGTAAAAATAACACTTAAGTATTGGGAACCGAGATTATGTGAGTCTGGGAGAAACTTAAGGGGAACTCGGCAAGATAAATGCAGATGTGGTGATAAATCCGTGTGTGTGTGAAATTGCTTGGGAGTATTTTTCTCCTGGGCACAGAATGCTTAATTAAAAAATAGATATAGAGAAAAGTCCCTAACAGGAATTTACTGCTGCTGTAACGGGGTGTATAAACCATGAAAAAATTGTAATAAAATTTATTTTTGTACCACAGGGGGTCTGTGCCCGAGTGCGTCAGGTGGAGGCATCATCCAGCTTCCCAACCGTGGGCAGGGAGAGCTGGAAAGGGGCTTTTTGGCAAACCCACTTGTTGTCATTGTCACAGCCATCAACATCCAAGCTCTTGCCTTTCAGGGTCCCACACCCTTCGTCCAGCTCCAGCAGGATCCCAAACCTGCACAACAAAGGGTTTATTGGCTGAGAGGAGCAAAAACTGTCCCAAGTCCTGTGGGGAAGGAGACAAAGGGGTGTTTCCCTTGCCCTTTTCCTGCTCCGTTTCCCGCTGGAGGTGCCGGGCTGTGAGGGCGGCCAGAGCAGTGCAACCTCTCCTCTGCCTCGTCCCTGCCTTCATCGGCCACAATCTCTCCTCTGCCTCGTCCCTGCCTTCCTCAGTGAAAATCTCTCCTCTGCCTCGTCACTTCCTTCCTCGGCAACATTTTCGCGTCTTCCTCAGCAAAAATGTCTCCTCTGCCTTGTGGTAGTTTGGCCTAGGCCTTCCTTGGTGACCAGCTTGTAACCAGGGAAGTGCGTAGATTTTCCCAGTATCCCCTATGATTTTTACGTAAGCCGGGGTATAAGAAGAATGGAGGAGACGCCTTCGTTGTTTTCTTCCGGCGGCTTTGGAGGTGCAGGTTTCCCTGCTGTTGAGTCTGTCGGGTTGGAGAGTGAGGCCTGGTAAGGCCTTGTCGACCTTGGGAGGCAGAGGTTGCCGGCAGTCGCTCCAGCGTGACTCTCCGTTGTCCCAAGGAGAATAGTAAGATATTCTTTGCTAATTCTTTTAGTTGATAGACCTTGGGCTACTGATCGGGATATATATATATATTATTTTGGTTTTCGTTCTTCCCTTCCCCTTTCCCTTTTCCCTGTGAAATTGTAGATATATTTCAACTGTACATAACTGTAATATAGGTGTAAATATATTTATATATATATTGCTTTGTCTCTCTCTTGTTTTTGGTTCTTTTGTTTTTTTTTCCCCTCTTCTCCCTTGGTTTGGGTTGGGGGGGGGACTTCTTGTGGTAAGGTTTGGAGACTTGGCAGGGAGTCAGCTCCAAACTATATCAAGTGGAATGAACAGTGATTTTGGGGGGAGCTGGAGCAAACCAGCTGGAAACCATGGTGGGCTTGGGAGGGATTGAACCTGGGCAGGAGCTCGGGCTGCACCGGGTGGGGTCTTACAACATGAACCTTCGGGGGTCTTTTTAAGGGAATTTGTTGAAGTTGCACAGTCGACATTTGTGAGGCAGAAGTGCCGGGT